TTCAAAGGCAGAAGTGGTGGCCCAGAGCAGAAAGGGATTTGAAACTCAAAAGCCCCTCACATCTGCCATCTTCTACCACCTCCAGAGCCCTGCCTGCTGGAGTCCATGGGCATCCTTCTAGCTCCATTCGCTGCTGCTCATGCCAGTGTCACAGCCCATTACATCCAGCCAATTATATCTGATTCCTCTCTGGAGGATGCTGGGCAGAGACACCATGGGAGCAGAAGAGGCCCAAGAGGTTTCTAAATGAAGAAGCCTGTTGGAAAATCCTATTACGAAGCTTATCTGATAGGGCTGTGCTGTTAATGACCTTGGCCTCCGCTGACCCTGCATAGAACCGGTCTTCCTGGGGCTTGGGGAAGGACCGTCTGGGCTACAGACTTACTAGCTAAATGTAATGGGCCAGAGAGAGCAGCAGGGCTTCTCGGTGCCCTTGAATTTGGCCACCAGCACAGTGGCCTGACTCAGGCATACGCACACACACATGCTCCTTCACACATTGTCTTTCAGCACCTCGGGATAAGGAGAGACAGGAAGCCCCCGAGCTGGGACCAGAAACCCTGAGAAAGATGGAAGTAAGCCCTAGAAACCGCTATTTCCAAGAGGACTGAAATTGGACACATTTTTCTCCACCTTGGAATTCTGCAGATTTTTCATCTCAACTCCCCCCAGGCTTATAAAGTGGCTCATCTCTGCTGCTCAAGTTGACAAAGGCGCTGAAACTGTTGAAAGGTTCAAAATGTCCCTTGGGTTTCTGGGCATGAAGGAATTTACATGTAGGTAGAAAATTACCAAGGAAATAAGTTTCCACTTTGAGAGGGGGAGGAGTGAAGACACAGCCACAAAAGCAAAGGAGGCCTCTCGGGAACGGCAGGGAAGTGTTTGGCCTGGGGAGAAATATTTCCCGAGGCCTTGCCAGAGGTTGCCAGCCAGGACTCGCAGCTTTAGCAGACAGCAGGAGTGCAAGAGCTCTGAACAGGGAGACAGGAACATCAGGACTTGCTCTGTTCTTCTGTAGGGGTGTGAAGGGCCTGCCAGAACCCAGGATGAAGGATAGTTGTAGCTGACCTAAGAGCCTCCAAGAAAGCCAACTGATTTCCAGTATGGCTTATGTTTTCTCGGCCCCAACTCTGATTTGCATGCCTGGCCCAAAATGGAAGTAGTGTAGGCAGGAGACTATGCCCCTGTGGGATACAGCAGCACTCCTAGGGGTTCTGGTACCCTCGGACGTGGCTGGTACTGGCCAGCTGCAGAGAAGACTGCTCTTTCCTATAATGCCCAAACAATCCACTGCCCCTCTTTCTCTTTCCTCTGTCCCAGAACCCTTCTTAGCCTTCCTGTCAGTCGGGTCACAAAGTCTATCCTCTGGTCTTCTCAGGCTCTACGGGTCATTGTGTGCCCTCTGCAGTGGTGGGCCATGGCCAGTTTGAGGCAAGGGCAGGGACAAGACAATGCATTGTCTACATTGTTACTTCCAGGGTTCCCATCATGGCTGAAGACGCAAGCTTTTAATAAGGCAACTTTTTCTGAAGACTCTGGGGACTGTATCCCAGGCCCTTTATGAACATTCATGGGTGGAATATATCCAAGACCCATGGACACATACATCCAGCTAGGATCTGCTCCCCAGAGCAGCCATGGACACTCACATGGGATGCTGCAGCCCCAAGCTTCCAGCAGACAGTGAAGGAGCCTGACCTTAGGATCTCCACAAGACTGTCCCAGTTCTGCCATCCTCCCTGCAGTACAGCCTCAGATGTTGAAAACTTTAAGCTCCGCAGAACAGAGAAGGCTTGCCAAGCACCAACTCTTGGATGGTCTGGAAAGGGAAAAGTAGGCTGCAAGGGTCCACAGAGAGCAATGACTTTGCACCAACCTCAGTAGGGAAGGATAGGGGGGGGGGATAAAGTAAAAAAACAGCCATGCTCTCTCACTAATCCACCCTACCATGAGCACAAAACTGGATGTGAGGTAGATGAGCCATTTTCCTCATAATTAATAATTTTATAGAGACAAACACATGATGAAGTCAAGATCACTGATGGGACCACTAGGTCCACGTAATTCTGCCTGATGAGTCCAGCCCATGTGTGCAGAAAGAAATGAGTCAGGAACAGGCCTTAGGCCACAGAGCCTCAAAAAGTATGAGAATCACATGTCAGCACACAACCTATAACCCCCCTGCTGCGTGGCCTCCCATCCCTCTTCTCACAACCTTCTTCTGGCTATAGGAACAGCTCCAGGCCAGGATTGCTCTTTGCTGGCTGGGCTGCCTAATTGGTCTCCAGGTGCCTTTGCACAGCCCAGCAAATGGTCACCATGAATTTGACAGATTCATGGGTTTAGCAGATGGAAAGTGAAAGCAAGAGAATATGGTTCCTTTCCCATCTTGATAGTCTAACTATCAAACTAAAATAACATGTAACTAGAAACAGAAAGGTTATTGTTTCTGCCCCCCTTTAGATTCAATATATGCAAAGTCCTACATGCAAATACCCAGAAAAGAAAATGTATAGTTTGACATAAATGCACAGAACCAAATGGGCTTCACCCACCAAGAAGTGGGGGGACATCAATTCTCAGGCTGCATTGAAAATAGCAGCCACTTGTCTCACCTGCAAGTCTCTGGCTTGTACCATTCTCCTTGCTCCTGGCTTCCTAAGGACAAAATGTACTTGGTGGCCAACCCAGACTACTGTGAAGATCCCAGTGCCCACTAGACAACACAGTGTGAGCACACAAAATGGGTGGAGTGCCTTACCTCAAAGGTATACCAGGGAAACCGACCAAGATCCCTCCATATGCACTGCCAATTCCGCACCACAGTGCGCAGAGTTCTCTCCCAAGATCTCTGTGTACATATGAAGGTCCTCCTCCTTCCTGCAGAGACCCGCTGAGTCCTGAGCATGAAAATCTGGTTCAGCTTTCAGAGTGCAGACATCAACAGAGCCAAGGACAAAGAATTTGGGAGACACAGTTTAAAGTGTCTTTCCAGGGCCCTGAGCTCAGCCAGACTGCAGAGCAGAAGGATCCATAGTGTCACCCGACTTACCTCTCTCTATAACCAACAGACACCTCTATCTATAACAAATGTCACCAAACTATGACTGTGCCTCTTAAATCTCAACCTGAGAGTGTCCTGGGCTTCCCATTCTCTCCACCCTGTGATGAGTTTGCAGTAAGTAGTTTATAAAGTCAGGCTGGTTCACAATAGCTGAAGAGCAAGAAAAGTCCACCAAAACCTGGGAGGTGATTTGAGCTGGGCAGGGAGAATGGAAAGAATGTGGATTTACATATTTGTCCCCACAGGCCCTCCCAGGACAACCACAGGAGGTAACTGACAAATATCATGGACAGCAGAACCTCCCAAAAGAGAAAAGTTCCAATTAGCCCAAAGAAATGAGAGCTTATTCCCAGAGTCCCAATTAAATCAGAACCAATCAATGCCTGCTCCAGTTCCTGCCATTCTGCTCAGGAGGAAATAATGAGAAAAATGTGAGGGCCCAGCCAGCAAGTGGGGTATGGCAGTCCTTTGAAGCCCAGAGAAATTATCCCTGGCTGGTTGCAAGTGTGCCGGCAGCTGCTGCACCTGTGCCTTTAAGAACTCTGCCTGGTGCCTGGGTCCCCAATCAGACCCTGAAGAATGCCAAAAAGGGCACCCCGCCCCACCCCCAACTGAGAGAACAAAAAGGAGCCACTGTGGGACCAGGCTACGCTGGATGTAAAACTGTCTATGGTGATTCATCACTGGATCTGGCACTCTCTCCCCTCTGTTTCCAGGGCATTCATCATGGGTACCAGAACCAAGGAATCCAATAAAGAAACAAAGGCACAACTCTATGCCCCAGCAGGCCTCAGAAAGTCTGAGCACAGGCAATTAGCTGAATCCAGAGGATCACAGAAGTGATGAGCATTAGCAATCATGGGGTGGCCATTTCACTGGCAGGTGTAAGGTAAGGAGGATGTGAGCGAACAGGCAAAGCCAGATCACGTGCTCAGATGGGGTGGGAGGTGATATCAAGTAAGACAGCTGATAGCAGGCTTAGAATGGAGTAGAGATTAATACAGCCTTTTATCTCCAACAGACTGGAGGCAAATCTAGTGATGGCCGGGGTCAAGGTGCTCCTTTTGAGCTTCTCTTCCCCAACCCAGGGCTCCCCTGTGCTCATGCATTTAGGCAAGACATAAGCCATGGGGCTTCCAGACCTTACCATTTACTCCCACAGCAGACTAAATCTGGAGCCAGGTCACTGTATTCATCACCACATATTGAATATGGGCTCTTAGGGCTGAGGAGAGCCGATGTGATCCATTATATCCTGATACTCCCAAACTGCAAAGTTTGTATTCACTCTGTGTCACTCAGAAGCAAAAGGTAAGACAGCAAATGGTATACGCCCCTTCCCATTCCAATAGCTTCATCTCCTTCCAGGGCCTGGCACTAAGCCCCCAGAGAAAGACAGCCAAGCCAGAGGGCTGTGAGTTAATGAGCTACCTGGGTTCAGTACCAAGTTCAATACTGTGGGAGCTGGAATGAAATGAACTAAAATATTTTCCAAATTCAGTCACTTCTCAATTACCCTTGAGTGAATTGCCCATGACAACCCAAATATTCCATGCCCCCAGAGCTTGGAGTTTGATGCAGGGATGCAGGTGTGTGGGCTGTGTGTGTGTGTGTGTGTGTGTGTGTGTGTGTGTGTGTGTGTCATAGAGAATGTGTGTATGTTGCCAAACTAAATATAAGCAAAGTGTTATTAAACTATTTTCCACTGTTCAGAAGTTCCTGTTTCTTGCTAATAAGCAAGAATACAGACAATTTGGTTGAACACAAATGGATAATCATAAGTCCTAGCATTGGAGATGGAGGTTCTTCTGAGCTTTACAATAAGCCAATAGGCTCTTTCTATTCCTGAGTGACCCAGAGCTGGAGGTAGGGCAATCTTACAAACATGATCCCCCCCAGATGGGTAGGAGCAGAGGCCTCAGTGGGCCCAGCTTACCCTTGCAGGCCACGCTGTTCTCGGGCTCATAGCCAGGCTTGCAGGTGCAGCGCCCAATGGGCACCATCCACTCCCCATCCCCGTTGCAGTAGAGTTTGATGGGCACATCGACTTCCTCTGCATTGGGGATGCATGTGCCCCGAGCAATCACCAGAGATGTGCTCTCTGCCCCTGTCATGGTTTCTGGGAACACTGCAAAATTTTGCACAATGCTGGGACACTTTTTGAAGAAGACACGGACGGAAAGGAGAGACATACAGGCTCCATAATCCTGGAAGGCGAGGTAAAACCCATTTCGAGTAAGAGGCCCAAAGCTCCTGACTTCTGTGTTGACTTTCATCAACCTTCCCCCAAAGTCCACCTGGGAGAAACTCTCGTCTGCAGCAATGGTGTCTACTTTGAGGTAGGGGGCTTCAGACCAGAAAGCTGACTTCTTGGTGGCAATGACAGAGTCAGTCTCATAGTAGTACAAGTTGAAGGTCTCCTTGCACGAGCCAGGGACATTGGGAAGGCTGCTGCAGTCTCTCACAGTGAAGCGCATCTCTGTGTAGATGCGATGGGCCCCCCGCCGGTTGATGAAAGTGGTAAGCAGCCAGTTGTTCTGGTTGGGCTCGAAGACATTGCACACCTGGTAGGTGCGGATAGTGTTCAGGTTTTCATCATAGCCACTGACTTCTTCCCACTGGACCAAGCAGGCCACAGGCACACACATGTAAAAACAGAAAATAGAGAGTGAGAAGACAAAAAGAAACAGAACAGAGAGCACTCTTGGATAGGAAGGAGCCTTAAGAGCTCACCAGTCCTACTGCTGGACTTGAGAAATGAACGCATCTAATGTGAACTTCATTTTCAAGATCTCCTTATAAATAGATATGATAGTGCTCTGCAGCCCATCCCCAAATACAACAGACTTCATTCCAGAAAGCATTTCCTCGTTTATCCCACAATTTTCATGCTGTGATGTTGGCTCGCTACGTCCATGGGGACAGCCTGAAGTTTCTAGCCCCGTCTGATGGCAGGGACTTCCTTCCTCACTGCCACAGTCTCTACTCTAAACAGATGCTCTGGGGATTAGAGGTACAATTACATGACACCCCACATTGGAAATTACTGTCTCTGAACCTAATTTCTTTACAGACATTCCTTGTCTAACAACTGAGTCCTGGTCTTCTGACTAAGTCATTAAGTGAACTGGTGGCTAAATTAGGAATTGCATATGGTATGTATGTTACAATGTTCAGAACAAAGAAATGGTCAAAGGAAACTCCAACTTGATGACTTTGCTTTTATTTGCATAACTCTTACATTCAGTACTGTACTGTATAACAGAACATAAAAACTATAGTAGTGTACTGTACGGTACAATCAGCAAACATTATAGTACTATACTGTACAAGAAGCCACCATAGGGCTGCACTGCTGTTCACCTTCCTGCATCATAAGTCCAAATGAAGGTCATAAATCCAATTAGTGTGATCAATTGTAAGTCTAAATAGTTGTTAAATAAGTAGGTCATTAAACTAGGAATATCTGTGTTTTGGTAAAACTCCTTTCTATTTCTGAAAAGCACCCACATACAAAGATTTTCAGGGGTTCTCAACAAACTTAGATTCTCATATACTATTGTTTTGTAATACTGTCTCCTTAAGAAAGCTAGACCATGTAAGAGAGACCCTTAATAAATCCAATTAAACTCCCCTGTGGGCAAATTTCAAGCAAAACAGGATGGAGGGTGTTACTAGGGGGAAAAAGAACCACTTCTCAGTAAGGAGGAAATAGTCATGTTTCACATGGGAAATGAGAGTCCACATTTTTAGCGTTCCTGTAGACTGGAAGGAGAGAATAACACATTAGATGTCTCTCAGTATTCTCAACAACTAGGTACTATTATTCCCAATTTACAAATGGAAAGACATGCAATTCCCCCGTGGTCACATGGCTATAAGAGGAGGTGTATAGGAGAGAAACTAGAAAGAAGTACTTATAACAATCTAAGAACTTCTAGAAGATTCTTCCAGTAACAGGAAATGGGAGGGGGTCTGTAAAGGCAGAAGTCAAAGAAGAGATACCGGGTGATTCTTTTTTCCTTCCACTGCAAGAGAAGAGGCTGAGCAAACACCTGCTCACATCTGAACCTCGATTTCAAGAACTGAGGATACTCCTAGGTATAAGTTAAAGTCATACTCTGCTTGCCTACAATAAATAACAGAGAAGAAAAAAATTAAACTGACTAAAGTAAAAAGAGAAAAGTGGGTTAAGATCCTTGACTACGTGGCAGTTGTGATGAAGGTAACGAAATCATACCCATTTCTTTAAATATTATGTCAACTGCATATTACGTATAGTGTAGAACTGAAATATATAAATTATAACCTTCATTCACAGATCTAAAAGCCAATTATGTGTGCTAAGAAGTATGTTCAGTTGAGTCTTGCAAGGGGTTAAACTCCCTGTGAAGGTGAAAGGATAAAGGCAAGGCTTTCCTTCAAAATTGTGCCATGGTATCAAAACAAACAAACAAACAAACAAAAACAAAAACAAAAACAAAAAAACAGACATAGTGGCAAGGGCAAAAAATGGGCAAATGGAAAGCTTACCTTCACCTAGGCCTATTGTCATTGCTATGTGGAGGCACCTGGGCTGCAGACTATCCAGGGCCTGCTAGTTCTCGGCCCCTCACAACCATCCCAGAATGCCAGTTCCCTCCCCGTCCAAAGTTCTTGGTCAGTTTCTTTCAATATCCTTGCACCAGTTTGAGGACGAAGAGGCAAACCTGATTCACTGCCCTAGATAAAGTCTTAAGCCATCCATCAGGTTTACTTAGTACCTTAACGATCACTGGCTCCCAACCACCAATTTGGATCCCCCAGCACCTCTCCCTGCATCACCTTTACTTTCTTTAACGTCAAAAACTTGAATGTTCCCAAGCCCACTACTCGATGTTTCCCACTCCAAGCAGGTGCAAGTTCTCATACTATACTTTCTACCTAGGGTACTTTTCATTCTTTGCCTAAGTTATTCCAGTTCTGGAAAAGCTCCCAGCCCCCAGTAGCTCATGCTCCCCAGCCCAGCCTGGATATACCACCACCTCGGCAGGTGCTTTGGGCTCCTCTGTAATCACACCCTGCCCTGTGTGCACTAGGACTACAGGGTGTTTCCCCCTCCCCTTGAGGGCTGCAGCGTGTCACCAGCATTCAGTATCCCATTGCTGCATCTGAGTGGGGTATCAGTGTGCATGTGGATGTGCCTGTTCCTAGGCTTGTGACAGGGCCACCAGCTGAGACAGTGCTCAAGTCCACAGCTCATGCAGAGTATAAATTCACACTGTCAAACCTCTCACCTGGCCTTTGCTTAATTTCTTATTGATTCTCTTCATGTAGAATTACCACTTTTTCTTCCTTCTTGAAAACCATGTTCTGTTCTATTTAAATGTGTTTGTTAAAGTCATTTTTCTGCTTGTATGCTTTTTGGAACCAGAAAGCAAATACATTAGAGAAAAGGAGTTTCTGACAGTGTTTTAGATCAAATTTTCAGAACTTCCTCCCTTTCCAGGGCTGTCTTGAAATATTTTCCCAGGCTACCTTATGTGACTTTTTGAGGGGAAAATTCCTTTCCTTTACTGTTTTGCATCGTTTAAATACAGCAGGTCTCACAATCCATGATTCCACCTGGTCTCAGCACAAATTTGGGGCCTCTTTTATGAATGCATAAGTTAAGCCTGTGGCCCCATTTACCGTGGGGACCTGGTCTTCGCCAGAGTCTTTGTGCCACCCAAGATTAATGCAGCTGTGTGATGGGAAAAGGACAGGAAGCCCATCTGCCAGGTTCACCTTAGCTCTGAGACCATCACCACTAGCAGGTCTTTAAATAAAGAGAATGAGGATTTCTACTTGTGTGGAGCTAGGGTAGTGAGAACATTTATCTTAGGAAATGACACTGATTGGTATTACAAGACCCATCAGAGGTAATTGTTTCAAACATTAACCTTTGTGGGCCTCAGTTTTCTCATCTGTAAAATGAGGAATCATACTGGGTGACCCCGAGTTGTAAAATTCTACAGATCTAATTGATTCCCTGACAGCTCCTTAGGGAGAGATCAAAGCAAATTAGCAGCAATATAGCTGTATATTCAAAGAGAAAGAGTAGAGAGAAATGAGAGAAAGGAAAATAGCTACCTATTGTTTGGGAAAAGGCCATGATGGAGTCTCACAATAATTTCTTTCCCTCTTTCATTCTTCTCCTGTCAGTTGGGACTACAGGGGTTGGAGAATTAAGTGACCAGAATGGGCTAGAGGAGGGATAAATGCTTTCCAGAATAAGTAGCAATTAGAATGAGGGGAGGCCTCCAAGAAAGAGAAGATTTTGGTTAATGAAGATGAGGGTGGGCTGACATTCCCAGCAGGGAGGGACAAACATTGTTATTTGTTTATGATGCTTGGAATCAGTCTCATTGCTTTACAGTTGTATCTCATTCATTCATTAATGAACAAATGTTTATCGAGTGCCAGTTTTATGCCAGGCATTTCATTAGCCACTGGGGATACAGAGGTCTGAAGCTTACAATCGAGGGAGAGGAACAGAAGTTAGAAATGATTATTAAAATAACTAAATAACTACAATTATACTAAATGCTGCGAAGGGAAATTACCAGGTGCTGAGCGAGGGTGGCGGGTATCCAAAGAGGGTATCGGGCTAGACCCTCCAAGCTGAAATGGATAGAGAAAAGTAAGACTGGGAAAGTGTGTGTCTGCTGGGGACAGAGTATCCATGTTCAGATAGGCCATGTGGTGGGGGAAAGAACATGTGTCATTGAGAAATGTGTGACGGAGTGTCATAAAAAGCTGGAGGTGGCAGGAATAAAACTGAGGAGAGGGTAGATCCAATTGAGAATTCTGAATTTCTTTAAACATTTTATTCGTACATGTGTGTAGTACATAATGATTACATTCATTGTGGGAATTGGTACAGGTACATAACACATCTCAATTCTTAACCCCTTTTTCTTCCTTTCCTACTGCCTCTCTTTATCTTTTGGCCCCATTTCCTTTTCCAAAAGTTGTGCCTCCCTGTTTCCTATTGTCTATTTTCTATGGTGCTCTTTGAATTATTTATACTTTGGACTTCTGAGAATTTTGAATTTCAACCCAAGTGTAACTAGAAGTCATCAGTAAGTTTTAGGGAAGAAAAACTCAGGGGATGTGAACTGAGTTTTAAAAAGATGTGTGATGCAGTATAAAGACCGGCCTAGGCCGCTTGAGTTCATGAATGGGACAGCTGGAGGTCACCACAGTCATTCAGGCTAGAGTGTGATGGATAAAATTCATGGAAACAGAAAAGAAATTATGGGAGAGACTCTCTAGACTCTAACTGAGGCTATGGGGGAAACAGATCAAATCCAAGGGGCCATGTGTCCTCTGAGCACTCTTTCATGCATCAGTCCTGCCTCCCCTTCCAGATCACTGGGAAAGCTGGTTCCACACCTCTGCTCTTACTCCTTCCTTCAAAAAACAGGGATTTTGTAGTTTCGGAGAGTCTGCCCATAAGTGTACAATTTCCTCTTCTGAAGCAAATTCTTTTACCCCAGCCTGTGCTGGCTCCAGTCTCTTCCATGTCTTGCCACTGCCCAGCCTAAAGCCATTTTTCTAAAGGTCTCTGTTCAGGAACCACTTCTCATCCTCTGCC